CTTAACGTAATAACTTGTGCAAACAACTATGCCTACATTTTGTCAGCAACTGTTTACCGTCAGATTTTGATAAAACTGATTAAAAAGTGATACATACTAATAACACAAAAGCACAAAGATAATCTTTGTAGGTTTAAAACGCGAGAGAGTCGGACCTTCTCCTTTCCAGTTCGAATACAAGCCGAATAAGTTACTGTTGAATTACGATGTGTTTAAACGGGAGGCTAAGCAGTGAAAAATGGATCGGGTTGTGGTTTGGAAATGGCAGACAGATAGATCCCGATTGAGTGGATAACTAGGGTTGGTAGGTACCTTATGAGTGGAATTCTCACATGAAGTAATATGGAAATCATACAGTTTTGTGATTAGGGTGCTTATTTGAGTTAGAGAAACACGGTAAATAATTGCCAAACTGCGGCGAAGAATGGTTCATGGGAAAGTGCACTGCACTGACAAAATACCCTATAGTCCAATGCTTCACTGTAAGTTGTCGTTATTTGCTTATCTGGAAGGATAAGTAACGCAGTCTGCCATGATTGGGCTACGGCAGATTGCTCCCTATCTTGGTGTGTGTTCTGGTAGTGGGTGCAGAAGCGATGTCTAAGGATCCCAAGGGATATTCAGAATTGGAAAAACTAAAAATGGCTCCCAAACATTAGGGACCGTTCAACTGAAGAACATTTCGGCGAAAGAATACTTGCACTCATGCTAAGCTGTTCGAAAATAACTTCATGTCAAACTGGTTTGAGATGGCTTGACATGAAACCACATCATCAGAAAATTTGAAGATTTTGGTAGGCGGGATAAAGGGTAAATTATTGATGAATGTATAAAATAAATATAGAGAAGGCACAATACTTTGAAATACTCCTGAATTATTCATTAACGGTTTTGAAACAGTGCCATCTGCTTTCGTTCTTTGAATGCTTCTTGTCAAATGATCTTGCAAACACGACAATAAAGTAATTGATCAATCCATCCAATGTCAGAGGAGACGAGATCATGAAATGGAATCGAAAGCGGAATAATAATCAAGGAAGACACAACAATCAGATTTTTGGGAGGCGCCTAAGAATTTAAAAATAAAGTGCATCATTGTGCAGATAACGTCCAACGCACATCTATTTAGATCATACGTAAGCTCAGTGGAGTCATTGGGAACAATAATACCAGGTTGCAGACTGGTGAGACTAACGTATGCTGCTAGTTTTAAGTCTAGAGTGAGAGAAATGGAACGATCGCGTTTGGTTAGAACACCATATAAAGGCGATTTATGAATGAGATCAATGGTGAAAGCTCTTCAGTAATCAGCGATTTTACATAAGCACATCTATTTATTAACAAGAGATGCGAAAAGCTCCTCGAGTGGACTAGTGCCATGTTCGAGCATAGACGAGGACAGACCATTCGGGCCTACTGCGTTCATGATTTTTGTAATTTTAAGGGGACGAAATACCCCTAGTGGGTGAGTGACAGGGTCTATGGAAGATAAGATCTCATGGGTATGGTGTTAGAAGGTCGTTTGAAGGATGAATAAATCCAGCGATGACGCTGTCCACGTCAATTGCTTTGCCTGTTGGTCGGTTTTTCTGTTCGCATAGCGTAGCAGTCTGATCCCCTGCTACAACAGCCTTCCTTTTTCAATACCCAGGACTTACTTGGGGGAAGAAGCATTCAGTTTTTTTACCTTTGCTTCGATTTGCAAGGGGAGCTATTGGACAATGGTTGTTCGATACCACCTATATCTTGCGTTCTTAGAGCTTATAACAGCGGATAACATTACATTCGCCGTTTCAGCAAAATTATGAACAGAATAGAGATATTGTTGTAAGGAAAACCACGAGGAGACTATAACAATAGACTATTTTTGGAGGGTGTTCTGTTGGCTCAGAGATTCCGGTTGCTTTATGTTCATTTCTTTTTGTTTGAATGACAGTGGGGTACGCCAACCGAGAGCAAACTTTTTGTCTCATAAATTGGTCTCTAGTTGAGATTGGCGCCTTCAGTTAACGAGAGAGAAAAGATTAGATTTTGTCTTATGTAAGACATTTTCTCTGGTGAGTGTTAGGGCGAGGTCTGTCCGACCAAAAGAAAGTAAAGTATAGTTTGATTCATGATTAAAGTCGACGACAATTGAAAATAAATTAACGTCAACAAGGGACTCAATGAAATAAATAAATTCTAAATGGTAACAGGAGCTGATATCAATTTCTGAGCGCAGGGGAACAATTCAGAGATTGGTAGAGGAAAAGGAAGAAAAGAAGAAAACTTAGGTAGACATGAAACAGTGAGACGGTCCGTACCGGTCGAGGGGAAGGCAAACAAACCTTTGGACTTACTCCACCACGAGGAGTTTATGTAGGTTATGACCCCGCCTCCAGTCTTCTTCCTGCTTCTTTCTCTTGTTGACTACTTTCGAAATCGGGTATATTGATCAGCGAATCCTTTGTGTTTTGGTTCAACCACGTTTCCTGTATGCATACCATACGTGTTTTTTATATGCACGCAATACGTTAGTGGATCAGTGAGGTCAGTCAATTTGACAAACAAAGAGCGAATGTTGAAACTGACCAAGTCATCTTCACAGCAGGTGTGTGTGAAATAGCAGTCTGCCACTCGTAAAGCTTACGTTTCTTGCTCCAGCCAGAAAATCCATTTGGGGCAAACTCATAAAAGTGGTATCACGAAAAACAGGAATGACTTCTTATACTAATTAGCCAGTATACAAACAACACGAGAACCTAATGGAAACCGAGAAATAAATTCCAATGCGACAGTGCACACAAATGCAACACAATCAATGGAGGAGCGCGTCAATAGGTCGCAAAATAAGGCATTTAGTTCGATGCCCCAAGGGACATCAACTCCGTTGGATAATTTAGGAGGACATCTAGCGCAGTCGTGGATCATCTCGTGGATATCGAGCGCTATAGATCCATCCGGTAGAGATTTTCCACCGGTTGTGTCACATCACACCCAATTGGTTAACCATGGAGCACTTTGGAGCACTGTCCATGACTGAAATGATTACCATACGTTAAATCAGGCAGAAACCAGCGTGCCACCAAAAGAAGCTTCGTTCAATCACTTCAGTTGTATTAGTCTGCGATGTGAAAATCGTGCTAGAACATAGTGTGTATGGATTTAAAATACCGGCTACCACGGTGGGATTCGAATCCGTATGTGCTCACCACTTGTTCCTTCGTACGTTGTGTGCTCTAGCAGCTCCGGTACAAGTATGCCTCAACGATCCCGATCTTCGCAAATTTTGTCACCCACTCAACATACAGCACTAAATGAACTCCACCAGTTAGTTCAAACCTACTTTCCTCGGAATCAGAATACGCTGGATGAACTAACTCTGCGATCGAGCTATTTTCTCAACTTATTTTTCTCTGGCAGGTAACGGATAGACATTTACCTGTCTGAGGGGTGAAAAGAATAGCAGTCTTTGTGTCCTTGACAGAAGTGAAGAAAGTTCACATCAACTGAAAATCTAACCGCTAATTCACCGATACACCAGCATCTACTCCTACTTCTTCATCACTGATGACCTTAAACCCAACCAGTGTTCATCATCGTGTGGACCATTTTGTGAGACCACAAACAACTATTCGCTCTTTAACCCGTTTTATTGAGAAAACTGGTGCAACTTCAAGTGAATCTACCACGCGCTTCCTCCGGATCCCTTGTGCTTCCCTCATAGCCTATCAAAATGGTTATATCACAGTAACAGACTAAACTGAAGTATCTACCGGCGAGCGAAGGTACTTCGTGGAGGATTTCCTGAAGGAGTACCAGAGTCGAAAGGAAGTTTAAGGTATCCATCGTTATTACAACCCTCTATAGATGATGACTCCATATCGTTTGAATCGATCCGTAATTGGCCTGGATTGGTCAAACACAAAGGTCTATTAACAGGAATATTAATATTTTGACCACCACGCTGAGACCGAATTATATGCGAGTCAGTGCATGCAGAGCTCCATTGGAGCCTCTGAATATTGTGTAATAAATCAAACCCTACTGAAACTGCCCATTTGAACCCAATTTGTCTAAAGTTGTCCGACAAGTATGTTCAGATTGTTCCCACAATTACTACACTTCGCGATTTTTACCCTCACTTCTCCGACCTAGGAAAACCCACGATTCAACTATTTCGAGTGCTCTATACCGCTTGCTCATGTGTACATATACGCTGCATCCACATTTTTGAAACAACAGTCAACAGACAACAACCAAGCACTTCAAATGGATCTGTTACATTTGAGGTCAAAGGTTGCACACTCAACTGTAATCACTCCTGTGAGACTTGGGCTAGTTAGTTTTATCCAATAAGACCGACTAAAATGTCCGGTAGTTTTCCAAACGGCCTTGACAAACTGAAGAATGCAAAAATCCTACTGTCTGCATGACGACTTGTGGCCACAACCACTATCAGAATCCTCGAGTTTACCTCCCAGTTTTCTGCGTCCGACGGACTGACTAACCTTAGCATTTGTAAAATCTAACTGACAGGCCTCAATTGATCAAACCTCACATTGGCCGAGGACTGTAGAGCATGTTTGGATCAGGTATAGCTTATAAATTCACTCTGAAGCTTGAATCATAGATCAGTCTTAAGGTCGGTTAACATGACCTTTGAAATGGAACAAATCTGTGATACTTAAAAGTCGTTTCTGTTCGTAGTTGGTTATTTAATCTTGGTGGAACTTGGTTAAGCTTTAGAATTTACAAAATTCAAGTATGCTTCACGTCACCGCCGAAAATAAGTATCTCTTCGATTCCAGATGTTCCTAGTGAAACCTATTTAACGCTGAAATAATATCACCTCATTTTAACTGAATAATTTTCCTTAACGAAGAACTGTATAAATTACATCCGCGGGGTTCACTGTCCTCGATGTCAACGAAGACATAGTGAACTTTGTACAAGATCGCTTTTATGAGTGAGTACTATAAAAAACGAGATTGATCCGAATTGGCTCCTCTCTTATACAGGGTCAAAACACAGCCTGATTATCAGTACAAAACGTCGAACACTTAGTGGGGTCACAGGAACAAATCCTATCAAACAAAGATCAAATTCAATGAATGCTCTTTGGTTTGGGGATCATCCAGTACCGTCTCCTGGTGCTCTGTCCCCCAACGCTCCATTGAGACTGTCAAACATTCAGTTACAGGCTCAAGCTGAGTTGGAACGACGACATCGGTCTTCTTCACGTGCGCACAGCCTTGACCGTCGTTCTGGACTGAGTTATGGATATGGGACGGAGAGTCGTCTGTCTGGTGCTCCTACGGATGTTGAAGGTTATGAAGGTGTGGGTTACGGCTACGACACAAGAGGTCGCCTGATCCACGGGGGTGCTCCTATACATGAACGCGCGATTAGTCGCAAGCGACGTCTTTTGGACGGTCATGAAAGCTTATCCAGAGTGTGGATACCACAAACGGATGCAGCATCCACAGTGCATTCTGAAGGCCCGTCGCGCAGCGCCGCCACGCGTAAGTTTTACTATCAAATGAAGTTTTCATGTTATATGCGTCATACGGGGCTACACAGAGAAATGCTATTTGTGGAGTCTACGATTTCATTGTGGAGGTATCTCGACACGTAAACTATGTTTGGGGTATTCGCTTTCACAATAAAAACAGTTATATAATGCAATTAACTAACTGAAGACAACGTACACTTAGTTTTAATGCGAATCTGTGAGCATGTGATCCAGTATTTGGTGGTTTCCTAAAAGCCATTGCCTAGTGTTATTTGTTTTCTCAATGGACTTGACGTTAGCGTTATGCTCAACGTTTGATTGAGTTGCTCTAAGTGGATCTTTTGGATAACTTATAGTACTTAAAAACCGATGTATGACTACCAACAGCCTGTGATGGATATGCTGCTCAGCATTCAGCGTTCATCAGCATTCCGTCCCCGGTGAATTATCCAAAGAATTTGGATAACAGTGAAGCACTCTGTCTAATTCAGATATTCGCTTTTTCTAGTCTGCTTATTCACTAACAAATTACTTTGTCATGACACATGAAGACACGTGAAGATTTCCGTGTTTACCGCAAGTTGTTGTTTTTTCATGATACATGAAGCAATGAGTGGACAGATAAAATAAAATTTCCCCTTTGTAGAACTGCGAACATCGAGGATGTATAAGTAACTTTCCGGAATCGGGTCTCAGTAACTGGTTTGCCTGCTTCCCTTGTTTTTACGGGACTCCATTCCACTGCATCTCCAGAGCGATTTTATCGATACGATAACCCCCGCTGAAATCACGCTTGAAGCAATGCCAGATGAAATTTTAGGGGTCTTTGCTAACAGTAATCTGACCCCTTTCCCTTCTCTTGTTTTCGTGAACGTCCTCCAAAATCTGTTTTGATCCCCGTTCACTGAATCAGCAGCGTTCATGTGAACCACCTATGTAAACACATCTACAACTGGACGTGCTTAAAGACTAAGATGACTAAGTTGCAACGTCATGTGTCTCTGGTAACACAGTGGAACTGCTTCATTAGCTACTTTCAAGTGCCTCATTTTGTTTGAATCAATCAGTATCCGTTCGATCAAATTCACAATCTGCAGACTTGATTCACTCAATCTTTGCCGGTCTCTCCGATTGCGCCTGAGGATCAGTGGTAACAGAATGCGTGTGATAGTAATCTTTATTTTAACGCTAGATTTGTTTTACAGACAAAGACTAATGTACCAGACAACGATACCAAAATTTCGTTTTATGTTTTGACTTCCAAATGTTTTACATCAGTGCTCATGTCATTCACAGTCAAATTCCCGTCATCTTATACTTCGAAATCAGCGGGGTGTTTGAAAATGCGGGTGATTCTGTCTGCTTGGCTCCCATCCTTGAGGAGATATTTTATCGCTGGTATTAGATTCTACGGTGCTCGACCGGGCGGACCGGTTGAGCGATTAACCATGTATTAATTAAATTCCAAATCAACTAGCACACGTTTGACTTTGTACGAGTTTGTTTGTAGGACGGTGAGTACACCTGATCGACTGCTACCTCCTGACAAAAAGCCGCTATTATATACAGACTACTGGTGAGTAGCATGAAAGTGCACATTCGTTGGGAAAGCTTCAGGATTTGTATAACAGTGCATTTCAGGTAATAAATACGAATGAAACGATTCAATGACGGATATCGCTCGCTACTTTGCTGTGATATCTTTTTGATAAAGATTTCGACGTTTGGAAGTGAGAAGTGAAATAGTTATCTATAAAAAATAATTTATGTTCTATTCTCACATCCAGAAGGGATAACGGATAGCCCTTGCTGAAACTACTACTTTTTCGAGATATTCTTATTAAACTAGTGCAGAAGAATGTCAAGTATACGGAACGGATAAAATGCAAAGATAGCAGAACGCTTTGGCCGGAATCAATGGTAACGCTTTCCATGAGTTCTAACTGTATTTTGGATTGATTAGGAAACTAGCGGCAAAAAAGTAAATAGACCGGGCACTTGAAAATATACCTGACAAGGTGGTGCTAAACAGAATGTGTTTTGGTCGACAGACGGGAAATTCCTTTCCATGTTTTTTTTTAAAGAAATGAGTCTTTTAGTCGACCTTCGGGTGGTGTTTCTAAGTAGTTCACATGACCAATTGCCACGTCATACAAACTCAGATAAATGAAATTTCATGCTGATTCATCAGTTAACTATTCTTGTATCTCGCCAACAATTGTCTTCCATGCGGACTAACCAAACCGAATACACGATAACCTGAGGCTGAAATGCCGCTTAGGCAAATAGCTCTCTCGTTGTCTGCACCTGATATGCACGGTTACATAACTCATCGTATGTGCATGGGCTAATCAGAAAAACAAACGGGTGTAACATGAGGTCAAACTAATGACTCTCGGATACATATTTTATCTTTCGACCACATGTTACCGAGCTCATATCGGGTCCAAATATGCCCCATGCGGACAAATCGTGCAGATGAAGAGCGAATTTTTCGGTGCTCGCTGGTTATAACTGGGATATCGTGCTTCATAGCATTCTCATCCATTAANAAAGTTCTATTTGTTCCATTTCATGGAACATGGCAGTGTGGTCATATAGTTACAAAATTCGAAAAGGCATCACGACTACTTGGTCATACAAAAATAATTGTATTTTGTATGTGCTACTATTTTTGTTTGTTATATCCCCGGGGTTCACAGGACTCTCCAGATAGACGGCTGGGGACCATGCGATTAGAGTGGCTTTCATCCACAAAGGCATTCGTACATCTTTTCGTTTACATAATCAACTCACATCATGTACGCTCAAAACTATTACTTCAGTTTCTGGCACCTGAAATTCCCTTTTTTATTATCCCAACGCTCTGACGGAAAATAAAGTGAAATTAACTCGTTTCACCTCTGATTCAGACAGTGGGCACTCACTGCATGTTGCGACATAGGTTTTGACACCGTCCAGATCCATACCATCGCCTACAGTTCTCAGTTCAACAAAGTGTGCATTGAATAAATGAGGGTCCTAGTTTGAAAGAGACAAAACACATCATTCTATTCCGATTCAAACGAACAATGGATTGGTGCACAATAAGGTGTTAGACTATTTATTTACCACATAAGGTGAACTGATCATCTGTTCCAACTACCATCTACCAATATTTACGCCATGGAAAAATTGAAAAAGATATTTCAAACTGAACTTGAGAGATGATAAAACTCCCTCACCAGGTCGGATTGATTGATGACATTTTTTCCCCAGACAGTGGAATTTTTTGGACGGATATGTTTCTATCTCTGGTTGGAAGTTTTCAAATACAAATATGCATTAAAAGCTTCTATTATTGCGGACCAAATAGCAATCGGATTCCATTTAAAACGACTACTATGTTTGGAGGTACCTGGCTCTGTGCTTTCTACACCCCAGATTTGGTGCTGTCAGATGCAGTCACCGTAAAAGTAGCTACCTCGAAATCTAAATCGTCAGGCACGTCCAGAATTGTTATGCACACGTGTGTAATCTCCGTTATGCTAGAAGTAATTAGTTCGTTTCTTTTTCGACAATAAAGCAACACTCAGTGTTCTTTGCAGTCGGTTGATTGATGATTTTCACTTCCTGCCTACAAAGTGCTCGGACTGCCTTGACGAGAATCACTGAATGGGTGATCTGCATGCGTGATTCATTCCACCAAATAACCGAACCGTAAGACTCGTGGTTCATTCAGCTCTTCAGATTGATTCAAAAAATTTGCTTATTTTGCTCGACGTAAACTTGTTTCGGTTCAAAGCATGATATACGATGTAGCGTATAAACCTCAGTAATTGACATGTATAGATGTCAAATAAGAATGCGGTCGTTTAGTTAAACTTACTGAAACCCCCTGCCGCGTTTCAAGATGGTATAGAATTTAGAAATATAATTACGAAAACATCTTTCCACCAAGGGATATGTCTGATCAAAGGAAAAGTAAGCACGCGCGAGCAAATAGAATGTTTTTTGGCTGAAAGCTTGCATATAACTCGCTAAAGCTTTAAAACAAGACAGTACAAATCTTATAATAAAATTTAGCTATATTATGTTCAACCCGGGCAAAGCATCACGGAACTTGGCTGTTTTAGGATGACATAGAAACATGAATATCTGGAAGATGAAGGTTACTAGACAAACAAATGTGCTTTAAAATACTCTCTATGGATTCCGAGGACTCTGGAAACAACCTATCGCGGGAGTCATCTTACATGCTTCAGGATGTATCCTAATGCCCATTCAGTTTGGTTGAGTGACCAAATGTGAAATGATCAGAGTTCGTAGCTCAACTGATGTGGCTTAAGATATACAAAAACATAAGTCACCATGTGTGGATGGGGATTTGAGCTTTTATCAAGTACATGGATGCTTCTGAATACCTCTTGAAATGTTATGTAAGATTTTTATGTTCAAACTGGGGTCTCGAACAGCGAGTATTCCGATTGAGAGCCGGTACCCAACGGTCGAACAAAACAATCACTGAACATCATTGAACTGGCACAGAAGAAAATACAAGAACATCTTCAACACAAACGTTCTCTTTCTTTGTTCACTCATAGCTCCGGTCTCCTTTTTTAAGACTTGAGTATGTAATCTATAAGCTTCGGCCGATAGAATGGAAATGTTCATTCACCGGTCTTTTGCCATTTGAAGTTCTATTATTTCATGCTCTTTTCTCCCCTAACAGCTTTAACCTCACAGGTAGTTACGTGTACTAATGTCCGCTAAAGAGGGAAAGAAATACGACCATAGTAACTAGATACAAAAGATAACAACTCTTATTTGCGCTTCGTGGATGATGATGATAGGCCCAAGGAGCGTGTAATTTGGTGACGCCCGAGGTGGAACTACTTTTGATGCTGTCTCAACTGTTTGTTGCATACAGCGTTTTGGAATTTTATTCAAATCAAATGATTTTTCTGTCGTATCTCTCTTCTCGCATGGTTTGCATTTCATTGTTTTTTATTTTCCAAGTTTGAATTATTCTTTTGATTTCACACCAGTTTATGCAAATTTGTTCATCTACCTTGCCCTTATCAGGTTTGACAGAAATGAAAGCACATTTGGATGACTCGGCCGTGGCGTTCGCGTTGCGTGACTTTACAGCCCCCGGGGTTCGGTGAGCAAACACTTTGAACTAACATGTTTGTCCACTTGATCTGTTTACCTTTCCAGCCTCGAAAAATTACAAACAACTATTTACTCTTCCCTATCCTGCCTTCCACGATCTTGCATCTAATCGTTAGTTGCAGTCCCGTTCTAATTTACCAAACTGTGCCCATTTTCAACCGGCCTCCAGTTGAATCCAAACGCAAATGATGAACTGATTTTGTTTTTCGCGGCTATTTTAGTTTCCGAAAGTTGATTATTTTACTGTGCTCTTATTTATAGCTGTGAACATGTATGTACTCCCTCGATCTCTCTATGTGATTCCTATTTTAATTTGCCAAAGAATTACCCACCTTCAATTTGTTTTCCGTTCGATCTGTTTTCGCGAAAAAAGATCTTCAAACGGATCCGAAGAAGATTGTGAACTGTTTTGAGTTTTTATCTCTTGCTCCTTATTAAGCCGTTTATTTTCTTATAAATTTCACTTATTTCGCATAGTATCTTTTGGAATTTTTTACTCTCTCTCCCTCTCGCCCTGTCTCGCTCAATTGGATGATGCAACTACTCAATCAGACCATGAATAACTTTCACTCAGGGTAATTCATGGGACCAAATCTATCAAATTTATTTCCCGCGTTTTATGTGTCGCTCGTAACCTGCTTAAACCTAGCAACCATGTTTTAATCAGATAATACAACTCAAGATAGCTTCCCTTGCTATTTATCTATTCGTTCTTTCACCGCTGCGGCGTTCGTACAGTACAGTTATGTAATGTTTGCAGTGTTTCTGCTTTTCACATCAATTCTATTCTGATTGAGCTGCAACTTTTCTGAGTTCGAACGGGTGTCTTGTTAAGTATGATCAGCTGCGTGGGAGTGTCCAACAAATTGCTTGTTATATTTGAGAAATTGTACTGAGGACTAAACGCATCACGAAATGACGTACACCAATCCAAAGCATAGTTTATTTGAGTCTATTCATTCTTTTCCCGGGGTAACAATTTTCGATGAAGATCTAAACAAAGAACAATAAAAATACTAGAGCACTATAAAGAAACTTCTTTGTCCATGATTCTCCAGGGAATAGATAATTTAGTCTCATTTTCTTCTCGATGAAACCCTGCTTTCGGGGACGTTAAAGAGTGACTTAGTTTTATTTCCATCATATATATATATATATATATAATCATTTAATCTTCAGTCTGAATCTTTTGAGGTACTAGAAATAAAAACAAACCAGAGGCTAACAGACTGGCACAAGTTGAAATAATTATTGAACTGCACGCATGTGGCCGAGGGTATTTTTTTTCTACCCCGTACGGATTTTGATGATTTCCGTATTTTTACACACATCCCATTGTTCAATATTTTTTTATCTCATACTAATTTCCAGCATCGATTGTTGTTCTTATCAGCGATCACAATTTTTGATGAGGAAACTTTGGGATATTTCGTGCCTCATGTGCGAATTTTGTGTGCTGTCTATTCTATAACTTGCAGATTCGCTAGCGGTTGTTTTTATCACATTTTTTTTACCAAACAGTCAATTGAACCGTTGCTGTAGTACCGAATTAATGTGATCGGAGCTGGTATTTCCTGCAAACCCAGTCAGAAAATAAATATGAAATGAATTTACTTTTCTTAATTTTTTTCAGGACTATCCCTCATAAAAGAGAGGATGAGTGAGATTCCTAAATAACTCGAATGACAGCTCATCGGACGCAGCCGATGATGGCGGGATCAGCGTAGATAGCCTATAACCAAACTTCGCAAACCAACTGCTTAAGTTCACATTTTACCGTGTTCTTCGTGTTTTAGGCTTTCTCTCTTTTACGGAGAGGAACGTTCTCTTTAAGATAAAACCACGGAGTGACCTCGTGTGACTGCTTAGTCGACAGACAGTGAAGAACAACAATCTGGATAAATCATGGAAATGAGCTGTATGTAACAGCGGGGACAGAGTATCATGTGTTCCTCCTTCAAGTGATCTACTATTGATCGTCAAGCCTCTCCCTAAACAGACTAGGATACAGGCTTGCCGCAACCCCACTGATTACCTTACCGCATGGTTTTATGCAATTTACCTTCACCTCCGATTGACCTCCACTTGTTTCAGCATGAAGCTTTCTGATTGTTTGAGTATTCATTTTTGTATCAGCATTGTCGTCCGATATGCGGTAACCTGACCCGACATTTTTGGTTTTTTGTGTGCCTATCGGGTGATCGACTTTAGAGATCAACTGGTCTGTTCAATTTTTTCTATCGAGTCGATGCAATGCAGAGCCGTTACAGATCCATCAAGCAGATAGACCACCCGTCATAACAAAATTAGTGATAGGTATTCTGTCATCCCAATAACACAGAATAAAACATAAATTTTGACAAAAAGAATATGTTGGAATCATAAATCCGGTAGATCGAGTTGTTGATCATAAAATTATCCAGTGTGTGCCTAACCTCTGCATTTTGTGATTCTTCGTCGGTCTGTAGTATTGTCGTGGAAAGGTCTGGTTTTATTTACCACTCCGGAACTGGTTTGTTTTTTTGAAACCTGGTACGCACGTCCTGACGGAGACACAAAGGTCAGTCTTCTCCGCAATCTGGGTCATGCGGAACATGTGCGAAGCACAGGATACATCGTGCCGGACGAACTGCACACTCAGATTTCCAGCTATATGCCTTCAATTCATCTCTTTTATCATAATCGGTTATCAGCTTATTCGGAAGTCAGGTGAAACGAATCAGCATTCTCATATGTCGTATATCCCTCCGTGATGTCAACTTTGGCTGTGCTTATTATGTGTCCAGCTCCACTCTTGATCTGCTGGAATTAGACTGAACTGAAAAATTAAATCAATTACATCAACCCATACGCGTGAGCTACGACCAAGTGCTTTTCACGTCTGTACGTACCAAATTATCATCAGATGTTCATGTTTTTTTACTTTGTGTTTGATGACGATCTCAAACTCGGCACTCACACTCAGTGTAATTTGTGTCCGGTACCCAGCGCCTCACGCTGCTGGAATCCATGTTGCACATCAGCAAGGATCAAGCGGCATGAAAATCGTCGTCGGGATGACCACCTTGGAGGATATTATTCACCAAATCTTATTCACCACCGTTCGTGATATCCTGAACCCTACCGATGGTGTATACCGTTTCATATTTAACAGGATCGGCTTCCGTGGTCCAAACTCCATTCGCTCAAGTTCATATTTTGCTTATGCAGAACCAGTTGAGGAAATCTTCCAATGGATGCCTACTCTAAATGATCGGAGGTTATTCCTGTGATTTCCCCAAATTCTACTATCAATGTTATTAATGTATCAACATGGCATCCCAGATGTGCCATTATCTAAACATCGGACTCATTTCTGCTCCGGTCTATTCGCGGAATTTTATCATTGTCTTTATTCAACTCCCTGTGAACCACAACCACACAGCCAGACTGAAACCGTTGTGGGTTCCTTGAAACACGCACTTCAAGAAGCCAAGGTTCATTTTTTCTCAAGTGTATTTTTTGGAGGAAACGAGTGAATAAGTGTTTCAAAGATGTTGATTTGTATTGCGCTTCCACAAACCCATTAGTTTCATGCTGTCACACTTCGATAGAAAGCACTTTGCGGACGTAAACTCCGGATCATTAACAATGCTTTAGTAGCAATGCACTCCATGCACAGGTGGTCCTAAACTGAAATTGCCTTTTAATATTCTTGTGCGCTTCCGAGACTAACATACTGATAAAAATGGACTGAATCAACCGTGAAAGCTCGACACAGAAAAATCATCCACAAAATGACCGTGGGAAATAACCATTTAGATGCGGAATAGAACAGAACTCCGTCCTCATCAAGAGAGAATGATTACCATAGTCAGAGGAAAACAATAATCCACATGGATCGTGGAAATCGGCCCTATGTGCCAGTGAGGAGAGAGAGAGAGCATCGATTACTTCTCCTTCCAATGATCGGTCGTCCAAAATTCTCCTCTCCCCTTCCGCCCAAGCACACTCGCTCTGTGTAGTGCAGAATGGTTACAGATTTGTGAAGCAGGTGGATTATGTGACGCAACAGCCACAGATGTCCATCCATATCACTGGAGTGTAGTAAGATTTGTTCTCTATTCAAAATTTTACTCCGATCTTCACATAAATAAGCTCACGCTGAAAGACCACAAATGGAAATCTCACCGTGATTGTAAAAACTTTTCAAATTCCCTCAAACGCATCTAGTCTACCAACTGAATGGTTGTCCAGGATAGCGCTGCTGTTCAGTATGACGAATGTTTTCAGAACCTAAGGTAAGAGCCGCGGTTTAGAAGAAGAAGAAGACCAGACATTGTGGAGGCATGAACTGAGAGGACACGACGGTCATAAATTTAGAGGTGCCATTTATTCCTTTAACCTGATATGTTCCGAAAGATGACTGAAATGACTGAACGCAGCAAAGCGGAAGCGCAATGCAACATGCGTGAGTTCAACCAAGGATTAAAGACTGCTACTTCGATGATGGTTTGCTTTACTTTGAATGGGTTCAATATACCCGGATTCATAGCCCACCATGATCGAAAAGAACAATAACAAGCACAAACGTCTTGTCGATCCCCTGAGTATTGCCTGTCTTCTTATGCCCTAACTCGTCTTGCCGACGCATTTCAGACCTCGGTTAATGTCGCGGTTTTTTAGACTGTCTGTCAAAAGGGTAAAACAAAGTCTGGCCGCCAGTGCGTTCCTCGGCATTTTGTAGCCACACACAGCGGTTGTACAAATGTCGGAGAGAGCGAGGAAAGATAAACCTCAAGAGGGAACAAACAGGCTACGAGCTGCAAAGCACCAATCACTCTTATCAGTCACATCTTACATGATTGTATCTTCCGGTCAATCGGAATACCCGATTCATCTAACTAGAGTGAATCACTTTCCTTGACTTGTTTGCTGTTATCATTCAAAGGAATAGTATTGGACAGGGACAAATTTATCAAATCAGGCCCGTTAATAATCACTGTGTCGATATTTTTGATGATCCCTCGTGACATCCTAAAAGGAGAAAGAATAACGCTTGTCAAAAGCTTCTATCAACACGCTGCACTTGATAATGTTTTGCTTTCATCTGCTGCGTTTTGTATATCACACTTGTTGGTGCGGATTCGCTTCTTTAATATCCAGATGGATGTAATGTAATTAATATGCGTTCTATTGCAAAGTAAATACATATTTCACCATTTATTTGACACTTTTTTAATATTTTTTGTTATGCACATAAGCATTGCATTATTGTGTAATCCAATGGGTTATTGCTAATATAGGAATACAGCAAGATTAAATCCAGATTTCACTCTAGTTGATAAAATTTCTATTCTGCTGCTGTCAAAATTGAAGCATCAATATTCTTGCTTACTTGTTAAATATTTTGACTTAGTAGAGGTATTTTCGGGGACAGTTCGTTTTGGCAACCCACATGTGGTTTCATCTGCTGCACTAATCTTATCTCTTCACTGTTCTTCGTTGTGATTATTATGTCCTTGGCTTCGAGCCTCTATTGATGATCCAACATCTTATCACTTCTTAGCCTTTGAAATACAGCAAGCACAAATTGAACTTTTGGGTAACAACCATGACTTCTGAACTTCATATCGGTCAATTTCATGCAAGTTCTGACTTCGTGTAGCCTGTCTCTTCTAAGATATATACACTGTCAGTAAATTATACCACTTGCAGTAATAAATAAACCAAAATACCTAACAACCGTCCGTTCTTCGTCACAGCTCTTTCAACGTTTCCGTGAAAACCAATGATGTTTATTGAACCACTTTGTTCGATGTTTGTTAATCTTGTTTTGCCTGCATTGGTGCTGGCTTCTCCCCAAAATTCTGTTACTACTTAATTAATGGTTAAACAAACGGTATTCGAAATCTCACACTGCGCTTCTGTCTCCCAATCCCCCTGCCGCTTTCTTCATCGGAGTAGCCTTTCCAGACGCGCTTCAGACGGCGATCAGAATTCCAAAGCGAGTTATGCGAGCGAGCACATTTACGCCCATCCTTCTAGCCTTAAGCGTGACTCTGAGATCTATTCACGTGTGGGACACAAGCACAGCTACGGTCGACGTCCTCACTCCCACTTTGGTGCTTTAGCAACGGACCGGAACTCGTTATTGCACAGTACACGAAGTTTGTATCGATCCGAGGGTGCATCTCACCGATACCAGCATCGTCCGCGTTTGGTTCCCGATCGGTGGGGTTCAGTTCCGTTACCAAATCCGACACAATACGATTCACTGATGCGTTCCAGTGCTCTCTCAATGCTCAGTCATAAGTCCCTGAGAGACTCAAAATATGTGCTTGAATCAAACGTGTGATAAGCAGTCCAAACAATGTACGAAAGCGAAATATTTTCTTTCTTTCTTTAATGTTTTGTTGCATGGGGTCTGTCAGGAGTGCACATTACTGTTATCTCCAGTTTCAACGCTTCAATTCCACGTATCTCAGGGCTCTCTTGAATAAGTCAAGAGGTGAATTGCACATACTGATGTAGAAAAGAAAGAATGATTTCACTCCGTTCTGTGCTTCCTCATTGTTTCCTGCACTGACTTCCTCCGAATCTGAATAATGCTTATTCTCAGTGGATATTGTCACAAGTTTAAACACCTTCCTCAGTATGATGATAGACCTTTGAACTTGTTTCTATTCAAGTTCACCTTTCCGTACACACCGCTTTCCGTAGGAAATAATGAACACTCGACAAAATGAAGTTTTTTTTGACCAGATTTCTGCTGAACTGCTGAACAATCCATACACACACACACCTGTATCTTCACGGGATCGTGCAATTTTCCTTTCTGTCTCCCTCACACACAAATAAGGGCAAATCAGAGTTCTTCCACTGAAACTAGGGTTTTCGGCTCCAAACTTGTGAACAGTCTTTTTCGTGATTTTACATGAACATAAAATTCAATAAATTGTGGAAGAACAAAACTGATGCTGCTGCTGATTCCAAATATCAATTGTTTTCCTTCACAATCTACAGCGATTATTCTTTGTTTGAGGTGTTGATCTTTCTTGATTGAAACTTCACACATGTGATCAACAACCCTGATCGGTCTAGAAAATTGCTTAAGTTTGAATAAGTTTGTTTAGTCAGATCATATAATCTACTCCGGGCTGAAGTGACGCACTGATGATGGTAATACCAGAGTGAAAGTAGTCACAGTTTTGAGCAGGTGATTAAAAAACAGTGAGGCTTGTTGTTCAAAGATGCAAAAACTTTGCTGTATAAATATACGCGTGTGTACCAGTACTTTCGAGACCCCAAAATAGTCAGATTCTAGACACCACTTGTTGATATCTCCAATTTTAGAAAACGTAGACGAAATATGTAATTGAAAGTTACAGATCTTCACCCTAGAATGATTGATAGCTTGAAAGCAGCAGTGATAAGACGGATTTTTCGACTTGGGCCAGTTTGATTAGGATTACTTTGACGTCTGGGAGATACCGATGCACCGGTATATTGACATCAGTAGGAGAACTCATTCTAGCTTTTTCACACATTGTTATTTTATCACCCATTAGATGGGTTCATGGTTAATAGACCTGTTCATTGAAGGCAAAGTTTGGTATAAAAAATCCATGATGATATCTCTATTTACGTAATGCATACCATAAGTAGAATAAGTCCAAAATTGTACAAGCTAAAGCATACGCAAATTTTACGGGGTAATCAACAGTCCACGGCGAGTTTGAGCCTGTTTGTATTTGAATTAGGTGTGACGATTTGTCTGCCTCTGTGACTCCTATGAGTAATTCAGTGTGGTTTCAAGTGGCCACAGATCCAATCACGCCTGAAAGACCAGTGGATTTGTGTTTGACACAGCTTAGTCTATCAATGTCGGCTACATGTGCTACTGCCAGTTTAGTTCTTAAGGTCATCGATAAAGAAGGGAGCGTGCAATGACTGCAGTGATTGCTAAAGTCATAGCGAAATTAGCTTACTTCGAATGACCATCAACCTGTTAGCTTCCGTCATACTCCACCGCTGAACAAACTGGAGAGAGGGAAATTATCGGTGAACAGTATGTCGAAATCCAGCCAGGTCGCTGTTGAGTCGGTCATATTTTCACTTTGAGCCATATGTTTGAGTTACATGATATACTTACACATCGAACAAACGCATTCGTCCTTAGTCTAAGATAGCGCCTGACTCAGTCCACCATGAAACCCTATCCGGTCGGCACTTTTACAAAGGAACCCATCCTAGTTAACCTTTTGAGGTCACTATACTCGCACTCTGGTCGAGTAACTGTTTACGGTGAACTGGGCAGTTTCACAAAGAGATCTTTCTCCGCCGGTTATGTTCGATTTCATCAACCATACACTTTTGAACAACGCCATCAGTGGTCTTTGAAATGTAGAGAACGAATAACTGTAGAAAAATTGGTTGGTGTATGAAAAATGCAAAAAATTTACTTCAAATTTAACGAGAGCATTTGCTTTTCTCGATATTCGCTTTGTATCTTCAATTGAATGTGATCAATTGTTTCTCCTAACTAAGTGTTTGTGTGGCGAATCATAGTAACACAAAGTGATGATCGCACCCGCATCTAAGCTCCAGGTGGCATATGCTAGATACAATTTTCGGCTTAAGTTGGAATATCAATTACACTGGTCCATGGTAGGGTCAGTTTCGTCTAACATTCGTGAGACCTTGATTTCGAGCAATGGGAGACATCTGCTGACCGGGATAGAGGAGTTTGATCTTCGAAGTTGATGTGGTTTAGCACAATTGGATTAGAAATGGTGTGTTTGCAAGAAAGGCCTCCTTGTGCATGTGAGTGCTTTGGCTGAAAAATTATGATAAAAAAATAATACACTGGTTGCAACATATACTCTGCGTGCTTTCAGTCAGATACGGTGTGGCAATTCGCTTTAAGTTACTGTTCCATGTTTAATAAAGTTACGCGGGGATTAATACGTAACTCAAATATGAGATACTGAAAAACATGCAGAGACAGTAAACCGCTTAGGGATCTCCGATTCGTTTTCTACTATTGCTGGTTTTGTTAATGCTCCGGTTCTTGTGTAAGCATAGCAGTACGAATATGCTCTCGGGAGGATATCTGGATATCACGATATCTGATCAGGAGTACGCAGACGACATTATGCTATTGAACATCCATGTTTACATGAATAAGTTACATGAGTGTTAGGGTAGACATGTTCAGCAGGTCTTTTGTATCTTCAGAGAGTAAAATACTGCTATGGGTTCGGATATATCCACATTCACTCTCACTGAGGGAGCAATATAGAGAAAACAGGCAACTTGACTTCTGGACTGTTACATCTCCTCTGGCGAAAGGATGATGGATGAACCGTCGACCTAAATACGGAAGGCTCAGTTAGTGTTTTAAAACATGAGACATTTATGTCTATGTGGGGTCGAGTAAACGCCGCACTTTTCCGACCGATTCTTTTGTGTGACGCCGAGACTTGGCCATTACAGAAACAAGTGTGACGATTTATCGGTGTTTGAACACCAATGGCTACACAAAATTCAAAAGTACGTTCGATGGGAGTTCTTGCCATCCTTCTCATTGCTGTTGTAACGTTTACTGATAAGGTTGTCATATCTTTTGAACAGACGGTTTTATAACCGAACACAGTATATAAATTTCTCCAGTAAGCTCATCATTACTCCAGGAATCTATTGTTTGTTTAGTGTCAAAACTCTTCTTATTTTATCACTGTACCTATCTAAGCACTCTTCCATGAAGTCGTAACGAGGAATTGATGTATTCGTGGCGTACATGTCACTTACTTGTATTGGTGTGTGTCTGCTGATGCGACCATTGGGCCTGAGTGGTTAGAAACCAAACGTATATCGAGTATCTTATGTACATTTACCTTTTAGAGCTTTGAAAAGCCCTTTTACACGTGTCCACAAAGCGTTTAATTTGATCGTTTGATTGAAGGTGAAATGTGGGACTCCGTACATGCTAAATTCCGATGGATTGACAGAAATTGGCAAATTCAATGAAAGAAAAATGATCGTGAAGTATTCTCATTGATGCCTGTGAACAGAGTGAAAAGAAGAAAGCTATCTATCGAAAATTCTCTTCAGCATTTGCATATTTGAATATTTTCCAGTCACTGTTCAGAAAGGGACAAAGAGAAACTTCTACAGCTCAATCCAGCAACTCCTGGTAGACGGTGGACAAAAGAATTAAACCAGAGACTGAGTTCACACGTGTCTGCACACCTCCCACGTACCGAGTGAAAGGATTACGTAAGAACGCTCTGTTACCTACTGTAACCATAGAAAGTAGAATTATGAGACTGGATTTGTGCGAGCAACGTAACGTGGCTCAAGTTCTATCATTACCAAACCCCTAAAAGCGATTGCACCATATTTCCCTATAAATATCTCCCCCATTTCATACCCCTTCCATTAACTGGTGTTTGTTTACAATTTGAAACTTGTTCTATTCGTTCTCAAGTAACACTGTTCACTTTATTTTTGACTCTGCTTTTCCCGATCCATTTCTTATGGCCTCATAGCTTGTTGTCATTTGAACACCTCGCACACACGTTCGTTCAATTCAATTGCCTACTGATTAATCGAAGTGTATATGTATATGCATGAAGTGAACTGATCTACAGAGTTTTGGAAATCCCAAATTGTACAAAAAGGTGTCCGAGGATAGTAAAGATGCTTGAAAGAGAAATGATTTTTCTGGGACATATTTCCGGCTATTTTGAGTAAGTATCATCCGGTACAATAAAATGCATTAATTCAATGAACCAGACAAGTCTACGTTTCGTTCCTGCTGATGGTATTGACTAATTATGTAGCAGAACCTTAGTAAATCTTGTGGTTGCAATCGGGCTTTCTTTGCAACATCTCACGTGGCCATCAATTTGCTGGTCAATATTCAGCCAGTAGGCATAACTATGGGCTCGCGCTGTCATACGTGTAACATTTGCATGATCACTATACAGCTGCTATAATGATCTTGATTGTAGCCGGTCAGACTGTATTAGCTCCAGATCGACCGTGTTATCGCCATTTATGGTCCGCTTGTGTCTGCGTGCATGGCAGCAGGTCCCGGTCACTTGGAGCCTTCCGTCTTACTCTCTTCACCTTTTCCAGCATAGATTCTCCTAGGATCGTCATTATCCTGATATCGCTTCCTCGAATAGGTTTTCCATCTTTGTTTATGTTGGGACCAACTACGGACTGATTCGATCACATCGAACGGTTCGTGTATTTGTGCTACACTTTTACATATGCCCATGCGGAATGCAGTTATGGTAGTGGGTCACAAAACCAAGAAGCGAGTAGCATTCCTTTTTGTTTAAGTCC